ATCCCTTTCCCTTTATTGTCTATGATAACTTTGCTAGTTGTCCAGTCATATGTTATTTTTTGTGAGAAGACTGAAGCAAAGTAGGCATTGAACAGCTCTGCCTTCCTATCATCCTCCATTACCAGCTCACCTTCCCCACTGAGCAGTGGACCCACACTAGCCCTGATCTTTCTTTTTTTCTGATATATTTGAAGAACCCCTTCTTGTTGTCTCCAACATTCCTTGCCAGCTGTAACTCATTCTTTGCCTTGGCTTTCCTGATTATATCCTTACATGCTCACACCATTCCCATGTATACTTCCTTGGTGACATGCCCTTCCTTCCATTCCAAAAGTAGAGCAATTTAAAGCAAGGTTTAGTCCTCTGCAGGATTTAAAGGAAAAGTTCAGTATGTGCAAAACTGTTTGCAGCATCAGAGGCTAAAATTGTATTTTTATTAAACGCTTTTCTCTAGTGGCATAAAATCATATTCACTTGAAACAAAACTGATTTGGTACTAACAATAAAAGTTGTTTAGACTTTTAAAACATTAACCAGGTTATTTTGAATTTTATTACACACATTGACCAACATTTCAAAAATAGGAGCCTAATCTTAAACTCTTGAACGTATATTTGGGGAGTTGAAGTTTGAATTTTCAAAAGCATCAAAGTAGTTTAGAATCATGGAGAAGCCTCCTTGAAACACTTCTTCTGGACTTGTGAGAGTTCAGTATATTGGATTTATGCTGCGATGCTAATGAGGCCATGGACTTTTTTTTTCAGCATAGATGAGGACTTCAACTGTGAAATTACTCCATAGAAAAAAAAATCTCGATCTAAAATCTGAAATTCTACTAACAATTAGGAAACTAAAGAAACAAATACAAAACACCGACTTTACCAAGCTAAGACTAAAGTGAGAAATACTAAACTAACAATGTATAAATAAAAAACTATTTATTTTTAAAATTAAAATTGTGATATTTTGGCTTTTTAAAAAAAAATCATGATTTTTATCTACCCTGGTTTCCTGACAGTGGAGTTGGTATAGGTCCATCGAACAGAGAGGACTGAGGAGAATGAATGTATATGGGGGCTATATGGTGTATTCTGCAATGGTTGATTGCATTTCAGCAAGAGGAGTCAGGGACCTACAGGGAACAATGTTATGAGTAGGGCCCTACCAAATACACAGTCCATTATGGCCAATTCCAGAGCCATAGGATTTGAAAATGTTTAAATCTGAAATTTCACAGTGTTGTAACCGTGGGGGTCCCGACACAAAAGGGGATGGGGGGGTGGAGGGTGGCAAACCTGTGGGGGGGTGGGGGAGGGTGTCAGGGGATTGTCACCCTCACTTCTGTGCTCCCTTCAGAGCTGGACTGTCCCTCCCCTGCCCAGTGAGAGCTAGGAGCCCCATTTGCTGGGGCGCTCCCAGCAGCACAGGAAAGATTTGACAACTCCACAAGAACTCCTCCAGCTGCAGGAACCTCTGGGGCTGCTTCCCAGTCCCAGAGTGTCCTGCAGCAGAGGGAGGCACCCAGAGGTGGGGCTCCTCCCCACCCCAGAGCAGCTGTGCAGGGGAGGGACAAGTCCTCTCCCTCCCCTGCCCAGCCAGAGCTAGGATCCCACTTTGGTGGGGTGCTCCCAGCAGCATAGGGAAGATCCTAGTCTGAATAACTGGAGTGCTACCTCATAAATATGGTCCTTAATGCCTACAAAGTGCTTTGGAAATGTAAAACACTAATATAAATTATACTTATTGTTCAACTCTACTTAAACCAGAGAAAAGCTTTTGTAGATGTAAAATTAAAAATGCACTGCTCATATTGAAATTTTGACCATCTAACTGACCCTCATGACTGTCACTCATACAATGTTGTACTTTTAGTTGTAGATGTGAGGAACCTTGTACCAGTCACAGAACTTAGCATAACAGAGATAGAGAAAGACAACAATACAGCTGCAACTACCGTGGACTGAAATGTCTGAAAATATATGCATGAACAAAATTGCATTTAGATTGTTCATATTACATTTATAAAAGTATTGGTTTGTTTTTAAGCAGGCTAAGGACACACAATGATTAAAAGGTCTTTTTTTATCTCACTGGTAGTTTTATTTGCAATACGTATGCCACAATTCAGGAAAACTGCATCTCACCTGTATTTCTCCCTCTATGGTCCACCAAGAGCACCCACTCCCAGCTCCTCAGCTGTGACTTCTCTTAGGCAAAGACCTTCGTCTTTCTGTCTCCTGACTGAGGTTTTTCCAGGCTACATAGTTCCCTACCAACACTGTGATATTCCCAACAAGCCAGCCTCTGCACTTTGTTCATAGATGGAGAAGACAAAGCAATATAATTACTAGCAGTTATGAGTTAACACACAGCTCTTTATAAGCCCCTTATTCTTAAGGTGAACATGTTACAAAGACGACATGTTTAAAAGAACCTACATGCATTCTCATAAGCATGCCAGAGATCACCCACAAAGTTCATCAAGGGCTCTGCTAGGGATCAGTCCTTCAAACCCCAAAGGTGTTTTTCTATGGTTATAAGTTTGTAACAGCATTAGCTCAGAACAACCAATCACGAATAATACAGTCTTTCCTTTAGACAGCTTAGGATTTTGATCTGTCTCGTGTAACAGGTGAACAGACAAAGGTCCCCTCTTCAGGGCACTGCTTCAAAAGGCTGGGTTTTTGCACAACTGGGGGAAGAAAGGAATTTTAATTCACCTCCCCCTAGATATTTCCCAGGAAATACACTTCATACATATTCTCCCAGCCACATTGTTCAATATAGTCCTTTGATCATCCAGGCCTTTAACAATACATAACCTTTGCATTTAAACAATGAATTACAAAGATACTTAAACTTAATTCAATAAGGTAGGAAATTGTCATATCTGTCACAATATATACCTAGAATTATAGAAGTCCAATTTGAATGGGATACTATTACATGGCTCTGTGGGACCTGGGGATGAAGTAATCTGTCAGCAAGGTGCTGTAAAGCACCTGTCTTCTCCATTCCTGACTGCAGACCTATCAGAGCTGGTGTTTTGGGCATGCTGCCATTTTTTGTGAGAAGCTTGTGAGAGTGTAAGCCAGAGTGTCACAGTTGTTGAATTCATTGGAGGATTGGGATCAAATTCTGAAGTCAGTCTTCTGAAGTGGGCAGACAGAAGCTGTTCAGATTAGAACTGATATGGAGGGAGTGGAAGCTCAGGTATTTAAATTTAAAACAGTCTGTAGGATTACTCTTCCAATCTAGATGTAATTTCTTCATGTTAGAGACCATCAAGATAGACCACAGATGCCAGTCTCCAGAAACTCCATTCCCACAACCTCAAGAGACCCCTGCCCACTCCAGTCTACAGACAGAGCCCATATTTCTCCCACTCATTCCCTGACAGCAACAGCCAGTCACTTCAGCATCCTGAGATACCCATCAGCATCCACCAGCTCAAGCGCTCTGAACACACAACAGCACTCCTAGACATCCAACTGCCTCACAGGCCCCAACCTCATAGTTGCCAATTGTGCAACTCCATGCCCTATCCCTACCTCTGCTTGGAGAAGGCTACATTGACAGTAAAATGATGTTGACCATATGCAAATTAGCTTGACATAATTTGCATAAAGTGTCACACACAGCGTTGTGCAAATCTTGGTAGCTGTGAATGAAGGACTCCTGACCTTTACACTGGAACTTGGAAACTGTTGCAATTATTTTGTTTCATCCATACTGCCATTGCTATCAGCTTGCACTTGCTCTTCATACTGTCATTAGTCTAATCAAGCTATAAGCACTTGTCCTCCTGTCTCGTCTCCTCCCCCAACTTTGCCCAGCCCTCAATTCCCTATCCTTACCAGTACCTTACCTATATTCCAGCCATCCTTCCGTATGTACACTCCTATCTTCTTTATCCTTTGTCTTGCAAGTTCCATACAGAAAGAAGTGAAAGTAATGGAGTGAAGATTAAACTGTGAATAATTTACCCTATTAACAAATTTAACAAAAAAAGCTGCGATTTCAGGATGTATATTACTTGTTTTAGAATGTCTAGCATGCTTTGTGTGCTACTTATATATTAAAAATAAAGTATGTTATATGAGAGATGTCCTCTCCCTATTTCCTATCAATTATTAACAAATCAGTTCTTGCTCTCTGTGACATTATTAGTTCAGTATTTGGAATGTAAATATACCAAAACCAACCACCCTTAAATCAAAGCATGTTTCTTCCACTGACCTTTTTGGCGCTATTCACATGAGTGAAGTTATGCACATATTTCAGTGTTTGCAGGACTGGAACCTAACCCCTAAATATACCCTTGTATTTGTATCCTTCTTTCATGTATAAGCAGTGTTATAGATTAATACATATGAATTGTATAGTAGTATCTTCAAACAAACATTTTGAAAACTGCTTAGGGTCTCTCAGGGACAATAATGTCAAACTCACAAAAAGCAGAAAATATAGAGTAAAGTTCTGTTAACAACCACAGACCTAAAAGCACATGGTCCACTGCCCTACAAATCTGCTTTACTCAACTATAGTCACCAAGGGCATACCCAGACAGCCCTAAATGTGTCCTTTGATGCAAGTATCCAAAGGGAATGAAGCCACAGATGGACCTCAGCAATAGTTGGCACTTCCCTAGAGCTTTTGCTAGAGGAAGTGAGGCTACCCTTAGGTAGTGCCACTATATACCACTCTTTGCAAATGGAACAATAATCACCTTGTCCTCAGGGAAGCTGGCCCCTCCCCGGGATCTATGGTTAGGAAACTAGACAGGAAAACGCGAAGAGATGGGCAAGTCAACATTATCAGCATGCTCTTCAATCTTTTGTCAATTTTACTCTACTGTTGTAAACTGATTTGACACCACTCAATTACGCAAACTAGTTAACTGTTAATTTTCTGTGCCCCTTCCCCCCCAATGTTCAACTGTGCATTTTTAAACTTTCTTCTTGCCACTCATCACCAAAAACATTACAAAAAACCCAATACACTGTAAAAATATGAAAAACTGTGTTTTGAAAGTACAATTTTACATTGGGAACCAAAAATACTTTAAACAATTCAAACATGTTCACGTTTAAAATTTTCATTATTCTCCCCCACAAATATTTAAGTCAGAAAAGCTCTAATTAATTAAAATGAACTTTCTGTGTCAACTTTCACTATGGTGCCACTAATGTACCATGATAATTAGCATACATCACTAAAGTTAAATTTCCCAGGTTTGATACTAAAGTGTTTTATCTCATATATGTAAAACAGCAAACCAAAAAGAACATGTTACCAGGTAGCAAAATAAACATAAAATGATGCAAATCACTATTAAAATAAACTCATATTTTACATATTGTCTATAATAGGGGTGTCAACCATTAGGCCTGCTTGATGAATTTCTGTGGTCCTCATGTCCTACTCAGATTATACAGAATCTAAGATTCCATTTTAAAAAAAAAAAGGTTTTTCTGTCTCCAGGCTGCAAAGATAGCTTTCCAAATGTAAGTTAATATAGTGTTATCTTCTCGAGTCTGCAAACAACCTGAAACAATAAATCAGAAGTGTGATCTCTGCTTCCTATTAATCTGTGTTGGAGTGACTTTAAACCAGTGGTGGGCAACCTGCGACCCGCATGAGGCCCATCACTACTTTAAACCCAGTAATGACAACTACTCATCAGCACTAATGATTTCAATAGATAAAATGGGGAAGGGGCGGGAATTATTGAAGTGGAGACCGAGAGAAACAGGGAGAAGGAAGGAAATGAAGAAAGGAGGATGGAGAGAGAAACAAAGGGGAGAAATAGCAATTCTCCTGAATATGAGTATAGTTCCCTTTGAGTGATAATGAACACTAAAATGAAAACAAAAAATGTCATTACTGTATATTCTACCATTGATTCCTATGCAAACTTTTTAGACATCAGTGGATATTCCACTGTCAACTGAGGGGAGTGAATAGTCTTATACCCAAACTCACTGACCATAATTAAAAACGGAATTTGGCTCTTTCCTAATCAGTTTGACATCTCTGGTCTATACTTTGACTAGGATTAAAGATCATGAGAATTCGAATGGAATATTTGTTATCTGCAATGGACAGGATATAAACCTAATTAAAGAACTACTGAAGTCAATAGGATATTCCATATAATGCATAAAAAATGTACTATGGAATTCAAGTATATATAAATCTGCAAGTATGGTAACTGCTTGCAGACTTAGGTTAGCTTGTTAGAAAAGTCATTTTTTTTTAAAATAAACATTATTCAGTTCTGAAAAAAACAAACTATCAAAATGATAAGATGAGTTTTGAAATCTTAAGCTTTTTTTTTTTTAAAAGAAGCAAGCAAACTCTCACTATTTTCCCCTGCTCTCTGATTAAAAACAAAACCTAGAATGGATTTAAATGATAGCTTGTACATAAAAAATTGCATCTGAAGTTGAATGCCAAGTTTCATACCAGAAGAAAATAAACTAATCAATCTATTATGCATAAACTGTCCAAAATTAAGAGTTTATAATAAAACTCTCAACAAGTTATATCTACTATATCAGAGTGATTAAGTTTCATTAAACTTTTAGGTAGATTCAGTGAACGTGCAATATTTGACAGATTGTTTATAAAACTAAAGCTCAGATTTATAAGGAATACATATAATAATCATGCTATTTCCAAAATACTACATACAGTCTATAAAAAAAAATAAAGGAAAACAGTAAGCAATGAATAATTATTAGATAATTCCATCAATATGCCTTTTTCTATAAAGCTTTACACTTTTACATCTCATCCTTTTCTTTTTAAAGAAGATTACAGAAATGTTTGGAAACCTGAACATACATTAACTTCATTCTATATTTCTGAATAGCAGCCAGTCTTCAAACCCTTTGCTAGCTCGACATGTATCTCATTGAGATATCTTCTCCCATGAAGTCAACTTGTCATATTTTCAGCAGCCTAGAAAGAGAAGTACAATTCATTATAATGAACCCACTGAAAATAAACACTAGAGATATAGATCAGCTATAACACTTATGGTCATTTCTTGCAACAACTTTTATTTGGTCAACAATGTTTAAATAGTTTACAGATCATAAATCATATGATATGTAATCTTAATATGCTGCTTAAATGGCTCTTTCATGGATTATTTTCATTTTCATAATATTTTTGACCCCCATTATTCTTCCTTTATTAATTTAGCCATCACTTGACAAAAGGTGACATAGGAAAGCCAAGTGTATAATTCTAACAAGGAGCTGTACCTGGTCTTTTCGCACTGACTCATGCAGATGGTGTTCAGATTAGGGCATGTTTTACTACAGACCCACACATAGTCATGTGGTCGCACCTACCTTTTAAACTGTAAACCAAAACAAACAAACAAAAAAAATGTGTGAAATGTATATGAATCCTTATTCTTGTCCTTTCCATATTTTTATTATATAATATGAAATACATAATGGTGTAGCATAAACATTTTATCTGCATGAATTTGGGACACTGGCATAATTCATAAGTAACACTACAGTGACCTATACAGATCATTTTCATAGTAGTAGTAATAGTAACAGCAGCAGTAGTAGTAAATATTTATATAATGGTACCACTGGATGCTGGATAAACACAGAAGAGATATCGTTGCCCTCAAAGGCTCTACAGACAAAGGGCAGGGAATGCGGATATGACATACAAGAAAGTTAATGTGGGGAAGAACTGATACTGCCTTCTCAGTTACATGTATTAGTCTACATTTATGTAGATCATTATTTTTTAAATTGGGATTCGAAGAAGAGAGAAAGATTACTAAAGCAGCTAGTGTGTGTAGGGCTCAATTATGAAGAGCCTTAAAGGTAAAAAGGTAAAAAACAAGGATTTGATATAGGTCGTGAATGGGAATTGAAGCCTAAGTGTGGATTTGTTGATAAAATTTGAGAATCTGATGAGCAAATTGTTAGAGAATCCAGGCTCTGGCTCTACATTATTTATAGCTTTGCAAAATTATCATGAAAGTGTACCTGTTCACTCAAAGAACAAAAAGGCCCAGTTGCCCATTTTTTACCATTGTGATTGATGATAAAGAAAGTTAGTAATTTTATTGGTCCATCAAAACATGCCACTCATTCAAAGTAAGGGGAAAAAAGCAAGTAAAAATTTGTAAGGTTTGCTATCTGCAGATTCTATGCTTTGGACCAAATCCTATTAGCAATACAGGATGAAGGCAACAGGATTTGTTTCCTAAGATTATTATTTTTATTTTATTTAAAATGCAAGGCAAAGGTACAATTTCATATGAAAAGCTAAAAGTGCAGTAATTTGAACTTTGATTTGCTTTAATTAAAAAAAAAAACAAAAAACCCTCTACATGTTTTTCTTAAACTGCCTTACCTTTAGCGCTTCTGTAGCCTTGCGTAGCTCTTTAATTACTGAGGATAAGGCCTCTGGATTTATACCTTGCTCACACAACCGCACACAAATAGACAGAGTTTCCATATCCAAACCAGTGTTTAATATTCTTGAAATCTCAAGCAGAACTGCAACAATTTTTAAAAATTAAAATTAGTTTTTGTTAAAGTTTAAATGAGATTACTGACATTTCTCTTAAAAATGAATTTATTTCTTAGGGGTGGGATTTTCAAAAGCTGAACCTCTGTGGATTGGGAAAATGGAAACATTACCTATTCCCCCCCCCCCCGCCCAGTTTGAACCCCACCTATAACATTCATAATCACCTTCCCCATGTGAGTCAGAAGCCCCAGACTCCAAACTCAGATCCACATTTACATTCTCTACTCTAGTATTTCCCATTCACTGAACCAGGATATTACTTGTTTACTGTTGTGATAGGAAGAATAGTCAACATGTCTATAGAATGTAGTAAGCTTTCATTTGTAGAAAGTGATTTAAAAAAATTCTAAAATTGTAACGATAATTCAAATCTTTGCCCATTAAACGGAAGATAGGAAAGAAAACAGGAGCAGTTTTAATTAATGATTACTATACACTATTATAATATTGTTTTGTATTACTGCATATTTAATTATCAATTTTACTCTATATTAAAGTTTGGTCTGACAATACAGACATAAATATTATATTTTATTTGCTCTCCAAAGCAAATATTAACTTAAGCTTTTAAAAAGTGTCTAAGCCAGTGGCTCTCAACCTTTCCAGACTACTGTACCCCTTTGAGGCGTCTGATTTGTCTTAAATATTGCCAAGTTTCACCTCACTTAAAAACTACTTGCTTACAAAATCAGACACAAAAATATGAAAGTGTCACAGCACACTATTACTGGAAAATTGCTTACTTTCTCATTTTTACCATATAATGATAAAATAAATCAATTGGAATATAAATATTGTACTTACATTTCAGTGTATAGTATATAGAACAGTATAAACAAGTCATTGTCTGTATGAAATTGTAGTTTGTACTGACTTCGCTAGTCTTTTTATGTAGCCTGTTGTAAAACTAGGCAAATATCTAGATGAGTTGACTGGAAACATCTCTGTGCATCCCCTAGGGTACGTGTACCCTGGATTGAGAACCACTGTCCTAGGCCCTGACTCCTACATCTATACTTGGCCATTCTTGTAACACATGGCATTGGGATTGTCAAAGGAGAACCATCACTTGATTCAGTGACTCAAGATACTTGTTCTAGATTTTTACTGGCTAGTTTTTCCCATCATCATTACCCTTTTGCCTTACATTCTTCTCATCTACTAACAATCACTGAACTGCCCATTCCACTACAAGCAATTTCATCCAAGCATGTTTGTGGTGAAATGGCATCCTCTGACTAGATACTACTCCCTTTTGAATCTTATGAAAAGCTTTCATTATTGTAGAGCAGTACAAGGTTCAGTCTTCAGCAAGATTCCCTGACAACAGTGATTTATTTATATTAAGAAATATTACTTATAACGGTTCTATAATCGCAAAGAAAGAAAGCTTTCAAAAATTTGAAATAGAAATACTACTTCATTCCTTCCACCATTACACTAGGACAATAGATGGCTGGTTGGATAACTAATGTGCGAATATTGACAAGATATATAGTTCACAAATACTAAAAATGTTTTACTGCAGTATAAATTTATGGTATACTGAAGTATAGCTTTAAAAAAAATAAGATCACCCACACATATAGGCCAGGCCAAGATGTTCAAAAATGAGTGCCTAAAGTTAGGAATCTATGTCCATAATTCGGCATGTAGGTAAGTGGCCTAATTTTCAGAAGTGCTAAGAACCCAGAAGAGCCCAACGAAGTCAGTGGGAGCTGCCAAGTGTTCAGTACTTTTGACATGCGAGTTCTATTGATATGTTCTCCCTGCTTAACTAAAGGTGGCTGTAATTCTCTCATAATGACCTTGAAAATACTGCAATTATATAAACACAGTATATTTTGAAGTCAGAACACTACATTTAACTTTTAAAATGAGCTTTTAGTATATACACCTCTACCCCGATATAACGCGACCCGATATAACATGAATTCGGATATAACGCGGTAAAGCAGTGCTCCGGAGGCGGGGGGGGGGGCTGCGCACTCTGGCAGATCAAAGCAAGTTTGATATAACACGGTTTCACCTATAACGCGGTAAGATTTTTTGGCTCCCGAGGACAGCGTTATATTGGGGTAGAGGTGTATTTCCTGGGCATACAAATTTCTGATTACTTTGTTCTGATTTTTTTTTTCCTCAATGGAAAAGTAGTGTTTGATAGTTTGAGGCAGAGAATCACACAGCTTTTCAGTGACTAATTTCAGCTCTTATTCTCTGCAGAATTTCTCTTTTATTAGTACTTGGTAATGGTGTTTTATGGAAAGATATCTTATATTCCAGCCTAAGGTTAGTTCATTTATACCCATAACTTTTACTTTTTATGAAATGAGTTAAACAAGATACAGTATAATTTAGAATTTCAAATCTCAGTTAGTCTCTTATAAAGTCTAATGTTGATTTGTTTTCCTTGTTTCTTTAGCTATTATAATGTACCACAGGGTAGAATTTCTCTATGGTACTTATCTGGCCCCTATTACTAGTACCCATGCACCTCACAATCTTAATGTATTTATCCTCAACAGCCTTACGAGATAAGAAAGTACTATTTACCTCATTTTCAAACATGGGAACTGAGGCAGAGAGAGAGACTAAGGGTAGATTTTTCAAAGGTGGTTAAGTGATTCAGGAACCTCAAAAGTTGACTCTAGTGTTCATGATTGAAATCACTGGGAGATTAGGCACTTAGGCACTTTTGAAAATTCCACTATTTTAGGTACCAAACACCTCCCATTGGAAGACAAATGGATGTAGGCTCCTGAATGCCTAAGTCACTTTCGAAAATGGGACTTAAGGACTTTCAATATTTTACCCTAAACGACTTGCCCAAGTCTAGCACAAGAAGTCTGGTTTCCCAAATCCAACTCTAGCACCCTAACCATAAGGCCATTCTTGGTCTCTCTGAACTGAAGAAGTAACACAAAAATCTCTTTACTCTTGGGGGAATTCTGCGCAAAAAATTAAAAATTCTGCATACATTTCAACATTCTGCAAAATTCTGCATGTGTTATTTGTCAAAATAACAAAATCACTCTGGTTTCAGTTATTTCTGTAATTTATTTAAACTACAATACAATGGATGAAGAATGGGAGTGGGGAGCATTGGAGGAAATCCCCAAACCCTCTTGCCTAATAGTAACGCAGGTAGGTTTGACCCTTTATTTCTAGTTATTAATCAACAAATATATGGAGCCATACGCTTGGTGTTACATCGTAGGCAACTGAAAAGCAAGTGAGGGCTGGGAAATCAACCAATTTATATTGGCTACTGAACATCTCCAGAAAGGTCAGTAGCAAATTGTTCATGGAGCAGATTCTGATCGGAAATTTTGTCAGTCCAAAAATTTAGACCAGTTCTAATCACTAAAGCACCATCAGCATTTATAAGGCCATACTGTCCTTTACACCACTCTGGCAACATAAAGGAGCCTTAAAACTTTTACACTCCTGGGGGATTTCACAAAGACAATGGGAACAATCACTAAGGCGGCAGGCTGCTACATTCTGCTCTGCTTTAGGGGACCGAGCCTACCCCATGCCTACTCCTCAGAATCAGCCTAAAGCCCTGCCCCTCTGTGCCGAGCATGCTGCAATAGTGAGCGAGAGGGACAGAGGGTTTCTCTTTCTCACACGCACGACTGTCTTCCCTCCCCCCGCGGTGGTGATTTACATTCCAACCAGCTGCTCTGTGCTCCGGAGAGGGACGCGTGACCGCTCTTGCGGCTTCCCTGTCAGAAGTAATTTTTCTGCAGGGAAGCAAAGAAATCTGTGGGGGCATGAATTCTGCGCATGCACAGTGACACAGAATTCCCCCAGGAGTATCTCTTGTACATTTATCTGATTACAAATAATTGATCAAATATGTCAGAGTTACGAACACCTTGGGAATGGAGGCTGTTTGTAACTCTGAAGCGTTCGTAACTCTGAACAAAACATTATGGTTTTTCTATCAAAAATTTACAACTGAACATTGACTTCATACAGCTTTGAAACTTTACTATGCAGAAGAAAAATGCTGCTTTTAGCCATCTTAATTTAAACGAAACAAGCATAGAAACAGTTTCCTTACCTTGTCAATTTTTTTAGGTCCTCCCCCTTTTCTTTTAGTAATTTACATTTAACACAGTACTGTATTTGTTTTTTTCGTCTTGTCTCTGCTCCTGCCAGATTGCTTACTTCCAGTTCCAAATGAGGTGTGTGGTTGACCGGTCAGTTTGTAACTCTGGTGTTTGTAACTGAAGTTCTACTGTAATTTTTTCACATATTTGCAACTTTTATTACTATTTTTTCCTAATCTGTCGTTAATAGTTGCTCTAATTTTACTTTATTCTGACTATGGAATGATTGTTCTTGCGCAAAACCCTCTCTCTCTCTCTCTCTCTCTCCAAATTCAGCTGTGTAATTTTATTTTCTTCTCTCAAATGCTTTCGGACACATTCTAAAAGGTCAGATCAAAGCTACTGTCAAGAAAGCCTTAGTTTATGTCTACACTACCACTTATGTTGGTATAACTTATGTCTCTCAGGGAAGGGAAAAAAACCAACCCCCGTCCGACCTAAGTTTTACTGACAAAAGTGCTGGTGTGGACAGCGTTATGTCAGCAGGAGATGCTCTCCCACCAACATAGCTACCGCTGCTCGTTGGGGGGTGGTTTAATTATGCCGATGGGAGAGCTCTCTCCCGTTGGCATAGAGCGGCTACATGGGAGACCTTACAGCAGCGCAGCTGCAGCAGTACAGCTATGCCGCTGTAAGATCTGTAATGTGGACATAGCCTTACTCTCAAAAGCCAGGGTGGTAAAAAGTATAGCTATTATTTTGCTAATGAGGCAAGGAAATGAGGGCGGTAAGCACATAAAACAGCACTTAAGATCAAAAGGGGACTAATTAATTGAGCATTAAATATCCACATATTCAAGGCCTTTTGAAACATAAAACTGGCAAACAGCGATCTAAATAATGGATAT